TCTTTTTTTTTTGGCCGTGCTACACAGCATGTGGGATCTTAGTTTCCAGACCAGGGATTGAACCCCCGTGCCCCACAGTGGAAGCACCAAGTCTTAACCACTGGACTACCAGGGAAGTCCTAATTCTGCATTTCTAGATGTAGGTGCTAACAATTATTGAGCTATGCTCACTATGATTTTGGTTCTATGTTAAACACTTCATATATGTTACATAATTTAAAAAACAAGTCATAGAGGAAGGTAGTTATTATTATTATTTTAAAATTTATTTATTTTTGGCTGCGTTGGGTCCTTGTTGGTGCGCACAGGCTTTCTCTAGTTGCAGTGAGTGGGGGCTACTCTTCGTTGTGGTGCGCGGGCTTCTCATTGCAGTGGCTTCTCTTGTTGCGGAGCACAGGCTCTAGGCCTGCGGGCTTCAGTAGCTGTGGCACGCGGGCTCAGTAGTTGTGGCTCACGGGCTCTAGAGCGCAGGCTCACTAGTTGTTGCACACAGGCTTACTTGCTCCGCGGCATGTGGGATCTTCCCGGACCAGGGCTTGAACCTGTGTGGGCCTGCATTGGCAGGCGGATGCTTAACCACTGTGCCACCAGGGAAGTCCTAGCAGGTAGTTATTATTAAGACATTTTATAAATGAAGTTAAGCAACTTGGCTAAGATTATGCCCAGATCATACGCTAGTCAGAGCCCAACTGAGGAGTCACATACAGGTTCATTCGTTCTACTTTCTGAGTTTTTAGCCACCAACCTGTAGTACGCACAGAGCTCAGAGATCGAATTCGGCTTGTGACAGTGAGGATGCACTTGGGTACTCAGCTGGATTCCTTATCCCTGCCATTCATCTATCCACCCCTCCATCCACCCATCCATCCATCTATTCAACGATTTGTCCAATCAACCAGCTGTCCATCTGTTACAGCCTGAATGTTTGTGTCCCTCCAAAATTCATTTGCTGAACTCTTAACCATCCAGGTGGTTATTCGGAGGTGGGGCTTTTGGGAGGTGATTAGGTCATGAGGACAGGGCCTTTATGAAAGAGACGAATGCACTTATAAAAGAGGCCCAAGATGGGCTTCCCTGGTGGCGCAGTGGTTGAGAGTCCGCCTGCCGATGCAGGGGACACGGGTTCGTGCCCCAGTCCGGGAAGATCCCACATGACGCGGACCAGCTGGGGCCGTGAGCCATGGCCGCTGAGCCTGTGCATCCGGAGCCTGTGCTCCGCAATGGGAGAGACCACAACAGTGAGAGGCCTGCGTACCACACACACAAAAAAAGAGGTCCAAGAGAGTGCCCTTGCCTCCTTCTGCCAATGAACATACAATAAGAATTCTGCAGCCTGGAAGAGGGCCCTCACCTGACTGTGCTGGCACACTGATCTTGTATTTTCAGGCTCCAGAGCTGTAAGAAATAAATTTCTGTTGTTTATAAGCCACTCAGTCTGTGGCATTTTGTTCTAGCAGTATGAATGGACTAAGACATCATCCAACCTTCCAACCATTCATGAAAACCTCTATCCATTCAGCACCAAATATCATGTGGCTATCCATTCCACAAATACCAAGGGCCTCTTCTATGCTGATCCTATGCCAGGAGGAGACAGAAGGCAGGGGAGACTAGGATACAACAGCACATGTAAAAGCTGGGGTCCCAGTATATATGGAACCCTCCGAGGGCAGAATCTCATTTTTGTATTTGCAGTACATAAAATATAATTTGACTCCTGTCTTCCTTTCCAACCTTATCTCAGCTACTTGTCTTCTTGCTTATGCCTCTTCAACGACATTGGTCTCTTCCTGTTTCTGGAGTAAGCCAAGCCCTCTTTTGCCACAGGACTTTAGCAATTGCTGCTCCTTTTAACCCAGGTGTTCATTCAACAATGTCAATAGCTGGCTCCTTTTTTTAAAAAAAAATTATTTATTTATTTATTTATGTGTTGGGTCTTCGTTTCTGTGTGAGGGCTTTCTCCAGTTGTGGCAAGCGGGGGCCACTCTTCATCGCAGTGTGCGGGCCTCTCACTATTGCAGCCTCTCCTGTTGCGGAGCACAGGCTCCAGACGCGCAGGCTCAGTAGTTGTGGCTTACGGGCCCAGTTGCTCCGCGGCATGTGGGATCCTCCCGGACCAGGCCCCGAACCCGTGTCCCCTGCATTGACAGGCAGATTCTCAACCACTGTGCCACCAGGGAAGGCCAGCTGGCTCCTTCTTATCCTTTGCATTTTAGTTAAAATATCTTGTCTTCAGAGAGGTCTTTTCTGACCACCATATCTAAATGAGACACTCTCTGCCCCTCCCCCAGCTATTCCCTATCACCTCACCCTGTTGATTTCTTTTATGGCATTGCTCATAATCTGTGAATCATGTTATTTATTCACTGCTTATTTTCTAGCTCCCTAACTAGAAAAATAACTCCAAGGAGGCTTTCATGTTCTTTCTGCATGGCTTCTAACTGCCTAGCCCAGTAACTGACATATAGTAGGCCTTGAATATTTATCTGTGGAATAAATCGATGAAAGATCTTCCCAGTATTAGAAAGCTTGAAGAATAGTAGAGAACAGACCTTGAAAGATAAAGTAGGAACAGAGAGGGCCTTGAATGACAAGCAGAAGAGGATACACTTGATGTGAACATAGGGAGCCAGTAGAGGATCTTGAGTTGCAGGCTGAAAATGGTGATTTAGAAGGGTGACTTGATATGCCACCATCTGCTATAAATCCTTAATTTAAATGATTTACTGCAGCATCTTGCAATGAATTACTGCAAGAGGTAATCAGTTCGTAGGACCTGAACTGTATTTTTCTCCATGTGGGATACTATACAATGTGGGAACTCAGTATGGGTCTACACGTTTCATATGTGTTATGTTTAATTAATTGATTATGTGTTATGTTTAATTAATTGATTATGTTGAAATATAGAAAATTGATCATGGCAAAAACTCTGTAAGGTGGGATCCATGGCTGTTTTCTGCAGGCATCTAGCCTGCAGGGGATAAATTATTTGTTCAGTGAATGAGTGAAACAATCATGCACTTGGAAAGACCTGGGTTCTATAGGATCTGCTGCTAGCTATCTGTGTGACTGACAAGAAGACCTTTAACCTGGCTAGGGATCAGTTTCCTCACTTGTAAAAGAAGGAGAAGACTTAACTCACAGGATTTTAAATGAGAGCTTATGGGAGAATCTCTGGTACAGAGTGGACACTCAGTAAATTTATTTCCTTCTGTTACTTTGCAGATGCTGATCCTGCCCTGACTGGGATTTCCTAGGTGCCTTTCCCAAGAGCCCCAGGGCTTGAAACAGAGCATATGGTGATAGTTACTTTTTCCCATTTTCAGTCCTTTCAATGTAAAACTGGAATTTTTTTTCTTTTTGCTATTTTAGTTTTTTAATCGAAGTATAGTTGATTTATAATGTGTTAGTTATAGGTGTATAGCAAAGTGATTCATATATATATATACATATATATATTCTTTTTCAGATTCTTTTCCATTATAGGTTATTACAAGATATTGAGTATAGTTCCCTGTGCTATACAGTAGGTCCTTGCTGTTTATCTATTTTATATATACTAGTGTGTATCTGTTAATCCCAATCTCCTAATTTATCTCCCCCCCCAAAAAAAAAACAAAACTGGAATTCTGACTATGCAACTTACTAGCTGAGTGACCTTCAGCACCCTTTATGTGCCTCAATTTCTTTATTTATAAGACGGGTATAATAACAATACCTGCCTTATAGTAGTATTGTAAGGATTAAATGAGGTGTTATACTAAATGTTTGTACTAGTGCTTGGCACATAGGGGGTGCCCAATAAATGTTGGCTGTAATTAGTCTTTAGAATTTCATTTTTTACTCTCCCTCATGTTGGCAACTTTTCTCTCCTCGCTCCTGCACGCATTCTCAGTGCTTACAATCTCTTCTGGAGAAAAGGCTCACTCTGAGCCTTTTGAAAGAAAAAGGTTCAGTAGATTCTTCCAGACAAAACAAATCAAGAAACTTAAAGCGGGAATAGAGAAGTAGAGGCATTAGGACGCTGCAGAGGCTTTTTGCACCTGTGGCATACGAGCGGCAAGGAAAGATAAAGGCTGAAGCAAGTAACCAGGTGCGACCACTTTCCAGTGAATTTGGGTTGAAAATTGGTGTTCACGTGGAAGTTCAGCAGTGCCTCTGTACTGCTCTCTGGAACATTCATCGGCTTAATCCAGTGTGCATGGTATCCTTCCTGTTTTCATTAGCATTTTCCTACTTTGAAATAAGTAGGTGCATTGTTCCTAGAAAGTGGAGAGAACTCAAGGAAACACCCCTTGTGTGGGAGCTGAAGTGGCTGCCATGAGGTTATGGAGAACGTCTTGCACATCATTCTATCCCCAGCACCTAGCACAGTGCCTAGCATAGGAGGACCTCAAAAACTGTTTGTAGAATTATCTTCAAACTTTAGCTGTCCTTCCCAAAGAAGCCTGTCATGCCCACACGCGGCTGCAAGCAAGTCCGCGCCCAGAAATAACATTTATTCTAAGGACCTCTGCGCAGAGATTCTTGGGAAGCGGTTCCCCTCCCTCATTACGTTACTCCTCCCCTCCGTAGTCTTTGAAAGAACAGGCACGCCACGTGATTCCCTCCTTTATCCCACCTCTGAAACCCTGGCTGATAATGGGCAGGAGCATAGGCCAACCATAAGACTACATTTTCTCTTCCATCCAATAGAGAGAGGCAATAAGTATAAGGCTCAGCTTTTTGACTTCCCCCCGCCCCCTTTGAGCCCGCCCCACACTCCTCCTCTAAGATTCGACATTTGACAACTAGTCCGGCCAATGAGAAGTTCCTATTCTGTATGGGAGGGATGGACTGACTGGATGATAGACGTCCCCACCTGGCCAATGGAATATTGCAAGTGCGGGAGGGCTGTAGGACAGAACCAATGGCGCGGTGCCAATAACAAGCATCGGGGTAAGGGCGGGACAAAACTGTTCGCTGGAGGGAGGGGAAGGCCCAGGGAACCAAGGAGCGCTGCCGCCACCGCCGCTGTAGACTGACTGAGTTGGAGGAGGGAGAAGCCAGGAAGAAAATGGCGGCCGTGGCTGCAGAGGCGGCAGCGACTGCAGCGTCCCCCGGGGAGGGGGGCGCCGGCGAGGCCGAGCCGGAGATGGAGCCCATTCCCGGCAGCGAGGCCGGCACTGACCCCCTCCCGGTCACGGCCACTGAAGCGTCTGTGCCGGACGGCGAGGCCGACGGGCAGCAGTCCTCTCCTCAGGCCGACGAGCCGCCGTTCCCGCCGCCGCCGCCGCCGCCACCGCCGCCGGGGGAGCTAGCCCGCAGCCCGGAGGCGGCGGGGCCGGAGCTGCACCCTGAGGAGAAGCTACCCGCCCGGGTGGTGGAGCCGGCGGCAGCCGCGCCACAGGAAGGGCCTGGCCTTTCACCTTCCCCTGCATCGCCGCCTGAGGAGCCCGCGGCTCCCGAGGAGCGCCAGGAACCGCCGCTGCCCCAGCCCTCAGCCCCGGCGCTCGTGCCGCCGGCGGGTGGGGACTCCGCGGTGTCGCAACTGATCCCCGGCTCGGAGGTGCGGGTCACGCTGGACCACATCATTGAGGACGCGCTCGTCGTGTCGTTCCGCCTCGGGGAGAAGCTTTTCTCCGGGGTCCTCATGGATCTGTCCAAAAGGTACCGCGCCCGACCCCAGCACGCCCCGGTCCGCTCGGTCCCCGGGGAGGGAGCGAGCCCGGGCGGCCCCTTCACCCCGGGCTCCCGCCTCTCCGGCGCCCAGCCGCCTGCGCCGCCCTCGGGTCCCGCGCGGCGCGTGGCGCGCGTTCCGAGTGGGGCAGGCGCGCGGGGCTGTCAGAGGGCGGTCCCTGCCCCAGGTGGGCGCCTGCGAGGCAGGTGTGCCGCCGGGTGGGGGGGGGAGCCGCGGGTGCTTGACGGGCTCGCGGGTCTCACCCCCACCCCCCGGCAACCCCGGCCTCCTTCCGTGACCTGGCCCTGGCTCTGGCTCACCCACACTGCGGCGGGTGGGTCAGTGCAAAACGCAGAAGGATTTTCGCAGAGAACGCGGTGCTGGGTAGGGGAGATTGCGCTGTTTTCAAATTAACCTTTAACTTTAATGAGGTTGGAGAAAGGGGTGTGAGCATTGGGGTTCCCAAAAGGTTAACTGCCGCTCCTTATAAAGGGAAGAACGTTTATTAAAAATGAGCTCTTCGACTGTTATTCTTACGGTTAGAACTAATTCCCCCTAGCACATTTGGCTAATTGGCTAATGATAACTTTTAAGAAAAGCCTAAAGAGATGGGATTTTTTTATTAAACCTTTAATATCAAGATGGTGTGGTATAAAAGTGTTAAGATACTGACTTCTAAAACTGTAGATACAGTTTAAATGGTTGAGTTCACCCACAAACCTCTTGTTTTAGCACATTTTCATTTTTAAATTTAAATTGTTTATGGGCATTGCTTTAAACAGATGAAGATACTCTGTTCTAAGTCTAGAGTTAACCTTTTTATTCTCTTCTTTTGCAGATATGAAGTGCAGAGACTCCCATTCACGGCTCTCCATTCTGTTTCCTGCAACAGCACACACTCTGATGGTATCTCACCTGTTGAGAAATGGCTTATTTTAGTACGTTTTACTTGTAACTGCTTGCCCTCCCATCAAGACACAAGAATCTTCTCATTTGGGGAAGAAAGCCATTTAAAATACATAATTGAAGTATGGGAAAAGATGGGAGCCTTTACAGTTACTTCAAACATTGTTAAATCTCAAAAAAATTTTTAATTAGTTTTTTTTTTTTTAAAGAATTTTGGGTTAGGACTTTTGCACTTTTGTTATCGGAATTAGAAAGCAGAATAAGACCAGTACTGATGTATTTAATAATAGCAAGAGAGAGAATGTGTATGTTCCGTAGTGTGTATGCTATTGAATCAAACAGAAGCGAAGGCCAGTGATTGTGTGAGAATCTGGATTTCAAATCTGCAAAAGGAAGGTGCAAAAAGGTAAGTTGTTTCTGGAAATGGAATGGACAGTGCTGTCCTGTTTTGAGGTGCTCATTGTCTTGGTGTTTTGTTTTTTAAAATTTTCTTTCATAGGGAAAGCCATTCGTTTTTTGAGTTTCGGTGTGTTTTACCTACAGTGCTTATAAACAGCAGCTTCTTTTGTTGGGGGTGCTGTTCTTATTATGAACCTTTTGCAATTTAATGTTTTGAAGTGAAAGGATCCTGTCATTAAAGTATTTTTTAAAACGCCATTAAGGGAACCATATCAACTTTTCATTCAACAAATATTTATTGAGCACATCTGTATAAGGCACCCTCCTAGTTATTCTGAATATTATATGTATGAGACACAGTCTGTGCCTTCTAGAAGTTTATATGGGAGTCACACACATTGTGGAAGTGGTGAGGAAATAAAGCAGTGTTTTTAAAATTTAGCACTTCAAGGAATTATTATTGGACCAGTGATTGACTAGTTGAGTATCTTTTTTTTCATAATTTAATATAATTTGGAAAAATAGATCTGCCAGTATATTTTGTAATCTGTGCTTACGTTGATTGCATACTTTCATGCACAGTTTTGGGGTTAACCGATGATCCAGGAGATAACTCTTTACAGACTTTACCAAGACCGTGACTGTGGTCATCAGTTGCTTTAAAAATAGTTTGTATCAGGAATTCCCTGGCGGTCCAGTGGTTAGCACTCTGTACTCTCTGCCCGGACCCAGGTTCCATCCCTGGTTGGGGAACTAAGACCCCGCAAGGCGGCACAGCCAAAAAATAAATAAAAAATAAAATAAAAATAGTTTGTATCCTATTTGAATTGGCCATTGAATGAAACCATTAGGTAGAAATAACGAGAGCTTCCTCTTATATGGGAAAAGAATATGAGAAAGAATAGATATATGTATATGTATAACTAAATCGCTTTGCTGTACACCTGAAACTAACACAATATTGTATATCAGCTATACTCCAATATAAAATAAAAATTAAAGCAAGAGCTTCCTACTGAGTGCCTGTTAAGTACCAGGCTTTGTACCACATGCTTTAACTTCCATAACTCTGGTGGTATTTTTCATTTATATAGGAGAAAATTGAAGTTCCTTCAGTTTGGCTAGCTTGTAAATGGCAAAGTAAGGGCTCAGATGTAGGTTGGATCTGATTCTAAAGTCTATGCTTTTTCTAATTTCATATTAGGAAGGTAGTTGGGTTGGCAGATTTCCTGTTAAGCAGTAAGTAAAGAATTGCATATTTCTGAAATATAGTGCTTATCTTGATGTTAATAGCTATATGGGATAATACAGAGGTTGTGTATGGGTGTTGGAGCCAAAGAGATTCTTTAGTCAGCTCATAGCCATAGAAGCTGCTCTGGAGACTCCCCATTTCCTTAGCTGTCTACTGGGAATGTAGTAGGCTCTGAGGTCTTGGTTCTTGCCTCTTCAGTGAGATAATCAGGAAAGAATTAACATTTGGGAGGCTACTAGGTGCATCAATGTATGTGTGCTTTTCTCCGGTCTTCCAAGGGTCCAGTTATTGCTTTTATTTTTTTATTCTGACAATCATGCATGGTACAGAAATGTCTTAGGGTTGTCCAGCATGTAGAAAAAGTGTTTGATCTTAGAGTACAGGATTTCATATACATGTGGATTAATCAGGATTTTGCTTTTGTAAGCATTTGTTGGACATTCTTCACCTTCCTGTTATTGTATTATTTTTTTGCCTTATTTTTAGAATTATTTGATGAACACATTTTGAAGAGACTCTTTGTGGAAAAAAGGAGCAGGACACATGTAATTTTAAGAAAACCAAAACCTAAAGAGAAGAAAATGGTACTAAATAGTAGATTGATCTGGACAGTGTCAGGGTACTGGGTGCTGACTTGTAGCACCTGCCTCTTCAATTAACACCATGACTTTGAGCAAATCTCTGCCTCGCTGGGCTTCAGTCTCTAGTGTGTATGAGGCTAATTCATTTTGAGTTTAGGCAGTTCGCTTTAAGCACAAATAAGCAAACAAACTTAATGCCTCAGTTTATATAGATAAAGTGAATAGGGTGACCAGGTGGTCTGGTTTTCCTGTACCATCCTGGTTTGATTCTTACCTCCTTTCTTTATTCAAAGTAGCTTGCTTTGGCAAATAAATGACTTGGTCACCCTAAAAATGAGGATATTTGAATATCTGGTTAAAAACGGATTTTATGTAGTGGAGTATTTATTTGAATGCTTTTAAGTTGAGGTGTGCATTGCATTCTCCAGTTTATTCTAGGCCTCTCCACTATTGTTTTATACGCAGCTCTCTTAGGTGGTTTAAATTACCTGCCTACTGAATTCATTAGCAATGTCTAATGACAGTAGTCTAATACTAGTAGATAAAGTAGATAATCAACTAACTCACAAATTCAGTTTGGTCTTCCTATTCTCTTTTGTTCCTTAACCTTACGCTTTTGAAATTTTGACATAGGTACATTTGTTTCTTCATTTAGCATTATATAATAAGCATTCCTTCAGGTTGCTAAACTATCTTATTTTAGACAGAATAATCAGTGGTTGTACCATAATATTTGTTTAATTTTCTTATTATGGTAAATGAATATCCATGTATTATATATTATGGTAAATGAATGTCCCTTGCTTCGACATTTATCAGCTGTTAGCCAAATGTGTTTCATCGTATGCCCACCTCCAATGGATTATTTTGAAGCAAATCCTAAACATATAATTTTACCATAAGTATTTCAGTAGAGATCTGTAAAACGATAAGAACTTTAAAAATTTAATTGTACTACTGTTGTCACACTGAAATTAATAGCAACAATTCCTTTACATCATCATGTGCAGTGTCTCAAAATCAACATCTAAGTTTTGCTCAAATTAGAAATCAAGTAAAGTTTATACATTGCAGTTGTTTAAGAAGTTTCCTAAGTTTTTCATCTGTAGTTCTCCTGCCATTACTTTTATTTCCTTGCAGTTGATTTGTTAATCCATAGCCTTTTTTTTTTTTTTGCGGTATGCGGGCCTCTCACTGCTGTGGCCTCTTCCATTGCGGTGCTCCTGACGCACAGGCTCAGCGACCATGGCTCACAGGCCCAGCCGCTCCACGGCATGTGGGATCCTCCCGGACCGGGGCACGAACCCGTGTCCCCTGCATCGGCAGGTGGACTATCAACCACTGTGCCACCAGGGAAGCCCTCCATAGACTTTTATTGGTAGAATTTTCCACATTCTGGATTTTTTTCCGATTGCATCCCCTTGGATGCATTTCCATAACGTTTTTAAAATAGGCCTTTTCCCTCAAGAGCAAACAGAAGGGACAACTGTAGTCCCCTAAGGGCCTTGTTTTGGGTCAGTAGAAATGATACGATATCTCTTGCCTGCCTGCAAACTTCTAGGCCTATCCCTTAAACACACCTCCAACTTTAGTAATTCCAAACCTAGAAAAATTTAACCAGCCTTCAGCCCAGTCCTCTGAAATGGTAGTTTCTCAGTCTTCTCAATCTATTCTTGAAGGGACATATTTAATGGGACCTCTGGTTGCTTCTTACAAGAGGGATCATTTAAACTGTTTGTTACTGTTCTCCACATCTTTAAAGTTATAAAGCTGCTTTGAAATCCTGAGAAACCTTTCTGATTCCATTTTTTTGGTACATGATACGAATTAAGGGATCATGAAGTAAATGCTT